ACTTCATCATCCTCGCTTCAACCACCTCCGCCTTGTTCGAGCACTGTCCTGGCCAGGGAACACTAAAAAGCGGCACGCGTAGAGATGAAAGTTGAGCTTTCAGTCTTTGTTTTTCCATGACTAAACCAACGGGATCCGTAGGCTTGACAGGGGCTTAATATACAAGAGCTTGAAACGAAGTACTTGCTTTGATATCAAAGGGCCTTGGTTTTCCTCAAGGCTCTCCAAGGCGCTTGGGGCGGATGACCTTTTTATCATTTGAGGCAGCAATAAGCCTACAATCCTAGCAATCTCAAGCCCGTTTTTGTAGACAAGCACCGGGTTCCATTGCATTGGTAACCGAGACCTCTTCACCACGTCTTCACAGCTCCCAACGCTCTATCTAGCTAATTTCCTTTCCCAAGCCAGCTAGGCCTCGAGCTCTTGCATACCGCCGTCAGGTTCACAGGACGGTTCGTGCCGTAAGTGCCATGTTACCTGTCATAAAACTACATATGTACTCTTGGAATTACCATATTGTTGGTTCCGCTTCACGACTCTCTGTTGTGTACCCGTTGGCAACGAACTTGAACTAACTGGGTTGCTCACTATGCCGGAGAAGCAACATCCAACGCCCTGCCACCGATGCCACGTGAAGAGTTGAAGCCCATTGATTGTGCGCGCGACCTCGTGTTTAGCGAAACATGCCAAGGACGGGACAGTCTCGAGTTCATATTGGTATATTAAAAAATGCCGCACTTCCTCTACTAAGTGCATACAGTCCGCCCAACAAGAGCATCTTGACAATGCTGGTTCTAAACATGTCACTACATTTCCCGTTACAATATGGCAGGACTTGTCTGTCTTGACACTACTGACGACAAGAGACCAGCTCTAGCTGCTTTTCACGAGCCATTGACTGCCAAAAACAGTGCCGAGTTATTACGAATGATGCATTCCATCCGGTGCGGTGACGTGTGTCGGAAGGACAGACACCTCCTGCTCCTTCTTGCACCATGTCCGGCTAGGCCGGCATCAAGGGTGCACCCTGCGGCCCGATCGCGATACAACAAGGATACTGCTCCATTATTTGCCCTAATCGGCGGTGAGGGCTACAGGCCTGGTACATCGCAACGACATGGCAGTAATACTTGGCCATTACTAGAGGCGGTATTGCGTTGATCCAAGAAAGCTCATGATGGTAATCGGCTAATGTACTGCGACTAGACTGACTGGTCGTAAAAGAAGGATGCAACAGCTCGACAGCCGATACAGTACGCCTGCCGGGATACCCCAGCCTTGACTGGATGGACTCCTAGTGTGGTGCAACTACACCATCAGCAAAGCAAACTTGTACGAGATGACGTATTCCACTATTGGCGGTGACATTCGCATTGCTCTTTTTCGCCTTTGGAACCAGCACCTTTGTCTATACAGATGCTCTGTACCAAGAATAATAGAGCAGATTACAGAGCAAGAATGGGTAAAAGGCAGCTTTTATGCCCGTCTACGCCTTGTTAGCTCCATTCTTGGAAAAGATTGACCATGAAGAGGGCCGTTAACATAGAAGACGACGCTTCAAAACCGCTCTTAGGCGGAGGTCACGAAGTATTTACGACACGGGCCGTTCCACGAACCTAGTCGTCGCCACACCCGCTACTAGACGGACTTGACGTTTTCCATCTTTGCCGGTTAGCAATACAGGGTGACGAATATTTGCTAAGCGTGGAAAACCTGCGGTGAGAGGTTTTCAAAAGCTGTCCTGTCCCCGTGACAGATCCTATAACAAATGCGTAAAGCAGCCCATAACCTTTATACGTCAAAAACAGCAGTACTATTGATAGATGTCAGAATGATATGCCCGAGGTTTCTGGTGACAATGACACCTCTTATACTCTACGAGTAGGCAGAGTAATCAAGCAGCCGGTTGCTCATCTGATTATGCACCGCCTACCACAGAATGTAGATTCAAGATTGTTGTGAAGATGAGCAGGTTAGTGGACACGCATTCCAGAGGGTTCTGTTTGCTGTTAAGTGAGCGCGCCAACATTGAACTCATTTCCCGCCACCAACTCAAGTGATGGCTTACCAATATCGAGTATTGTCCCCAACATCGATCAAGCGGATCATCAAGGGCACCGCATCCCTTCAGTTGTAGTTATGCCGACTGTCCGCCGTCGCGAGACTAACCATGGTTAGGCTGCTAAATGAGCTGGTTCTGGAAGAGGTGGGCCATCAATCCTTTGGTTGACTTGAGAATTCCTCCGTGGCAATCATCTCCCTTGTCAGGCCGATATTTCACACTTTGTTACATAGCAGCAGTGCGGATGTCAGACTGGCACAAGCTTCAGCACGCTTCTAAGGCAACGCTTGGCTAGTCGATAAGTTTGCCTTGCCGGAAATTTGGAGGCTCTTGTTCCTAGGATGCGTGCCGCGGGCGTCTATTCCCTCAGACTTTTACCAACTTCATGTGCACTACTATAGCAAGCTGAGATGAGACAGAACCTACAATATTGAAACAAATCAGGCTACAAATTCGGATACTACAGAGCAACAACTAAATACACTAGTTGACGTTTGTTGTATTACACGCTTACCCTACCTACCCTATATGAATTCTTTGATTTTATAACTAAAAATGAACCGGAAAACCTATCAAGTTTATTACAAGCAGCTATTTACTCTTAATTTTATAAACAGTGTAATTCAAGCGCAACAGGTCCCCATCTATTAGAGGGGTAGTTCTTTTTGAGACTCTGATATTCAAACATTTAAAAAGGTCTCTTTGTTTTAGGCTGGCCAGAGTAGTGTCGACAATTAGTGGCCGTGGTACTTCTAGTGTATACCACGTGGAATAATATTTGGAAACCGGTGTAGCAAAGTATAATTACTTATATAATAAAGACATTAATTATAGAAGAAGACTATAAGCTATTCCGAGAATACCTTACGCTAATCCGTTATGTATTTTGACTTTTTTCTGTGTAGCGTACTCTGTCAAATTTCCACCTTGATGTTAGTAGAGCTAGTACTATCAGAGTACAAAAATGACCATGGAAATAATTTATATCATGTTGAAGCCTATTTAAGAGACAATAATAAGAAGTCGGATTTCTAGAACTAGTATATCGCAGCTTGTGTGTTATATTTTAGCTGGGCAATAAACTTAAAAGCGTTATAAAAGCTGTCTTGGCCCAACTAAAAGCAAAAGAGAAATAGTAAACTCTATTTACATTATGAGGTATATAAGATTGGAGGAAAAAGGATCAAGTCAGACAGAAACCAAGAAATCTATAAAGTGTAGAACAAAGCGAATTGCAGGGAATAGCGCGCTTGGTTGACCAACATTGAAGGTACTTGCACATTCCAACCCTCTAAGGCCACCTGAAGGAAGGAAGACCAAAAAAAAGTATACAATATCTTGGAGGTCCATTTTCTGCATAAAAGCATACAGCTGCAAGTCTAAGAGCAATAAAATGCAACAACAGACAGCTTATGAGCGCCCCGTTTATCGTTTTTGCATCCTGGTGTTTGGTGCCACTCGAGAGCTTTAAATAGCCCTTGATTTCAATGTTGCTACGGCCTGTTACTAGCACAATAAAGAGCTCCATCTGTTACCTATAGTTTTATGGTCAGAATCACAATCCGCGACTGTGTAGGCGAATGCATGCAGGACCTGGGACATGGCTCATCACATCACCACTGTGTCTTCCCTAGAGTACAAGTTGCAGCCTATTAAAAGCTAATTGATACGTCATTCATTGAAAACGACATGATGGAGTCAGATTGACGGTTGCTTTACAAATTCGGAAGTGTTACCTAATGGCCTGTAATCCAAGAGGACGAGATTCCCACGGTGCTATCAGCAACGCAAGCGGTCGGGAGCTACTTGGAAATTCGTTATGGTACGGCTGCCGTGGGCACGAGATAATTTCAGTGCATTGCAAAAGTGAGCAGACGTACCGAAGTTGTTGTGATGTTACGCGACAGAGCGAATATGGGAGCATTCCTCATCTTGGCAACAAGTACAATGCTTGGACGCAACAAAAATTAGTTCAAAATGCCAAATCCCGGGCGGTGGCAGCTGAGTGTTAGTAATAGCCGTCTACAACGAGTTATGCTGCACATGCGTACTACACTGGTACATGGAAAGCAGTAAGGGATGGAGAGGTACGCAGCTAGTTTAGATAATGGAGCAGCTCTTCGTCGACTATCCCACTCTTCCCCACGATAGTAGTGACATGGACTTAGTTCTCCCTTGACAGGACAGTTGAACCACATGGTGCATTGTAACCACACAGTCAACCGAGGAACATGATAGTACAACAATGGAAAACTACCCCATAAACTAACAAACTAGTAGTTCACTACGGTACGCAGCACCAAGTCAACATGCGCCCTGATTTGCCGTTCTGGAATGGATCCTCATGTTACTACCATTTACATGTGCCCCAACCCTTTCATGGATTGATCAACAGGACCATCATTGGCGTCGCGTAAAGGGGCTACGGCAACACGGCACGCAGATCAATGAGACAACAGCCGACCGGGCAAACGACTATAGAAATGACTTGGACGATCGTCCCTCCCCACAACCCATACAATGCATTCACGGACCAGCAGCATCACGTAGTCGCTTTACATTCCTGTCGCGTTTTGGCCGCGAATTTAAAATGCCAGTATCTACACCAAGCACAAGGTTTAGGTTTGTCTTTACCCCCGCGCCCCTGCGGAAGCCGCTACGTCAGCGTGAACTCGGGCTGGGCGTTTACTGCATTCCATTTCAGCATGTTGCACCACCAGATAATAAGACATAAGGGTCGAAGTAGGGGACGCAAAGAGGGACCTGGAACACGCAACAACTATAAAGAACAGTCTTGGCACCCTGCATCTTGGCATTGGAAAACCGCATCACCAACCCCAAACAACGTCTCACACGCACTTTTCTCGACATCCTCAAAAACACACTACACTCATTCATTTTACCACTCTACACATCACGAAACACAAAAGCCGCCAAAATGAAGTCGAGCTTTGTTGCCGTTGCTCTCTCCCTCTTTGCCGGCGCTGCCCTTGCGTCTCCGGCTGATGCCTCGACGGCCATGCTGGACGACCGCCAGATGAAGGCGATCCATATTCTTCACAGCAACAAGGCGGCCCTCGGCCTCACCAGGGAGGAGACGGAGAAGTTTGACAAGTTCATGACGAGCATGCGCAAGCGCACTCCCCAGGGGCTCTTGGGGGCTCTGGGGGCTCTGGGGAATCTGGGAGACCTGGGCAGCAAGAAGGAGCCCAAGAACCCCGAGAGCAGCGCCGCCCCCGCGGTGCCCAGTCCGACTCCGGCCGAAGCGGACTCGGAGGAGAACCCCGTGCCAACCCCGACCGCGGCCGCAGCCCCGAGTGAGACTCCCGCACCCCCCAAGAAAGGCGGCATCTTGGGTGGCACTGTTCTTGCCGGCCTTGTGTAAAGATGCCATGGTTACAGGGACAGGACAGGGTTGTTGAAGTTGGTAGAGTGTAGGATAGGTAATGGGATGCATTGCAAAAGCTGCACTTTGTGCCGTGTTTGCCGTGACGTTTTGGTGACCACATGTCGACGATGCTACGAGTCAAGTTTCGAGAGTGGCAGAAATTGAATGGCCATCTTGCCACGCTCGAGGCTTTTCCATCGTCCACACAACGAATGAGGGCCATGTGTCGTAACGATTTGAACTTGAATCCCTGTCAAATCCGCGCGTCGCGTCCAACCAAGACACCACATTCCGCGGCTTCAATCCTATCCCTGCCATGACCGCACCAACGTGGGCAATGTCCTTCTCCATCCGCAAAAATGTCGTTCCCAGCCATCTTTACACACCTACCTCCTACGATTGTAGTAACCTCGATCAAAATTTCCGTCTTTTTCTGGTCCTGGCACTTATTGATCCTCCTGTCACTAAGGTCTTGAAGGCTGCATAGTGCATATATAAGTTCCAATGAGAGGGACACATTCCACAAAATGGTCTCGTAGATCAATGGCTTAGATCGCAGCTTTCCGGTGGCTGAGGTTCCAGGTTCGAGTCCTGGCGGGATCGTTTTCTGGACCAGACCCCATTTTTTTGTACCGCCACCCACGAAAGTGCATAAAATATGCTACTTGATATAATGATTGCTTCGCTTGTCTTGAAAAGGATCTTAACGTGAAAGGCTTTTTTTTTTAAAAAAAAAAAACCGCATTAAAAAGGGGACAATACCCGGCTGCTGCAAACTCTTGGGTGTATACATATACAGTAAGATATCAGTCAACACAATATTAGTTGGCCCAAGTGACCGGATTCGACGTGCTGTATAAATAACTAGCGCGGAGAAAACGCTAGCCCGGCCGGAAGAACAAGATTCGAGAATAAGTTGGCGAATTTTAGTAGCTTTTGCCACAAACAGACGCGAGATCCAAAACCGCCAGTATGAACATGGTCACCATAGAACAATGAACCCTCAGCTGCAGTCAAGGTTAAAACCAGCGCAATACATTTTCGGGCCAATGCGACCCTCCATAATCGGTCCCTACCAACAGGGGATCTTGCCCCCCGTACATGCGCGTCAACAAGGTTCTAATCGTTGAGCCGTTGAGGTCCCGGTCCAGCAAGCTCTGAACCACGCAAGACTCGTCGCTTATCCCTCCCGGTGCTTCTACAATTAAAAAATATCGCAAAGCAATACTGAGTGCAAGCAAGCCGGAAATGCGCTGTGCAAGACCACCGGACGATGCAAAAAGAAGTGGCAAGGCGCGCGCACTCTTTCTGGCTGCCATCTGTAATTGTCTCATAGCCTCGGCTGTCTCCATAGCACACAACTTGGATACAAATATCTTAACGGATACGAGCATCATCTCGATAAACCAATATACGATGGAGAGATGCAGGAGACCAAACTCGTCCTCTGTCTGCGGTACCGGCACGCACTCTCCCATAAATGTATAGTCAAACCTTAGAATGCCGGTGCCCATCTTGGCAGCCCAAACCCTCATCGCCCTTTCAAGTTGTGCGCAGCGACCGAGGACCTTTTGTTGAAGAATTCCTACTGCGGCGGGGCAAGAGCTGGACTGGAGCTGGGCGATTTGTTCCAAGAGCGTTGGAATCTCGAGCATTATATCCACAAGCCTGTCCTTTGCCGACTTTGGTTTTGTACCCCAGGGAATATTCTTCCACTCGTGGCTGCTAAACGGCGATCTGGTTCGTGTGCCAATGGCTAGCATTGCCTGGAAACATGAAGAACATTAGGTCGTTTGCTCCGTATGCAGCGGCAGATAGCAATCGAAATTACCATGTTGATACGACTATCGACAAATAGTTGATGAGCCGCTCCTGAAAGAAATGACTTTGGCCCTCTGCTGAGAAAAAACGCGAGTTGACCACCGGTATGGTGTTTCCAGGCCACGACTCTTGGTTCGTCCATCGGGACAAAGACGAGCTGCATTTTCAGTCAGTAATATCTTTGTTTCGCTTCGGATGAGAACAAACTTCAAAAGACGCCATTAACCCCGAGGCTACTATCAGGCCATTCCGTTGGTATGCCTGTCGTTGTTTCAGAGCCGAGCCGAGCTTTTGCACTGCAGAGCTGTACGTCTGGAGGCTTTTGAGTCGCAGCTGCTCATCATTGTTCTCAGTGGCTAAGCATGCCATTGCCATGGCAAGCGTTACATATCTGAGACTCGGCTCCGTGTTGTAAAACATCAATACTAATCCTGACCATCCAGGAGCAGATAATCGTGATTCTGTCAAGAAATGATGGTCTTTTGGGAGCATTACCGCCCAGAGATGCTCAAGGTACAGCTGCTGCCGGGCTGTGCTGACAAGGGAATCAGAGAGTGCGATGTCAGCTTGGCTGTTTTCAGAAGTCGCAGCCTGTATTCTCAAGTGTCTGGGCCATGTCTGCTCTTGCCATGTCGTAGATTTTACGTTTCCGCGTATGAGGTTGTTTCCGATCAAGTAGCTGTTTACAAATTTACAATCTCTTGCGTAGCCCTCACAAACTAGACTCGATGCTCTGCATCGTGTGCATTCCGGCTTGGTCATGTCGCACTTTGGTGCCATGGCGTCAGCAGCTCCTTGTTCAGGCCAATCCGTTTCGACAACATACCCCCTTCTTCCGCCGTCGACATGTATTGCAGCCGTTGGACCGGCCCGGAGCCCCAACCATAATCCTCGTCGTTGGAGGCTGTTGTAGCTTTAGCGAGATGCTTGTTTCGACACAGACCCTTGATCAATAGTGGGTTCCAATTGTGAAGCTGTCTTGTGTTGTGCCTTTGGTTGCCGTCCTAGTTCTGGCACAGCCCCGAATTCGTCAGACGGAGTGATTTCAGCCCGATGCTTACTTGGGGCCATCCTGTGCCTGGTGGCTGGGACTGCAATGCTGACATGGGCAGAACCACCAGTTGACATGAGTCTTTCCGAACGCCGAGGGCTCTCTTACCCAAACTATGTGCCAATTCGTGCATTCAACTCTAGAGAAACTATCCATAGCGTGCAAGGCTCCCTTTACCACGGCTAACGCGGCGCGAGTGTTGATGGAATATCTCACATACAATGATACGCTGATATACATAAAAGCAGGCTCGAATAAAAAAAGTAAAAAAAAAAAAAAGACTATTGACATAAACAAAGGCTCCCAGTTAGTCCCCCACGGGCGAGACAAAAAGATGTGCGGTCAGTGTGACTTGAACACACGACCTTCAGATAGGCATCCGTAGGATTGAAGCCTGGACTTCAGTCTGACGATCTCCCAGCTAATCTATGACCGCAGGTGAAAGAAACCGATGTTTAAACAGCTTATGAACCCTTCGGCTTACGAGGGTGCGTTGGCTTACGGGTGGGGGATGGATGGGCTTCGTGTGGCGCAATCCTTGAAACTTGGCAGCGTCACGTTACCTTCAAGGGTTAACAAATTTTACGGCAAGGTGTGAAAAATATGTAAAATCTACTTAGTTTACACTATTTGTAGTTGGTTGTAATTGCTCGTGTTAGTTTTCCTTTTTAGTTTCTCGAGGTGTCTCATCCCTCTCTGGAACCACTCACCTGGCATCTTTCTGCTGTGAATTATACAGCTGGCTTTGCCACTGATTTTGATGCCTGTTTTGCTGCCGGTTTCGCAGGCTTGGCTGTTGAACTAGGTTTTCGCTGTTAAATACTGAAAGCTCGGCATAGTCGGCCGTAGGGAAGAAAAAATTGTGGCAACTTTAGAGCATCGCACTGCACGTTTGCAGTTAGTTCCCGTTACTTGGACATGATTTATCTTAAGCGTCTTGCCATGGCATGTCACGAGATGGTTTACCTTGCAGTTCCCTACTGTTAGTTCTGGGAGCGGGCTAACTGGTTTCGCCGGTGGTTTTGCTTGTGGTTTTGCAGCAGGCTTATAGCAGGCTGCAGGGTGGCGATCAACTCAA